TTCTCTGCAGGGTACCCATACATCTAAGAGCTTAGTGGTGTTTCCACCAGGTCAGTCCAGCTGCCGCTAAAACAACATATGCAAAGACAGCACAGCATGGGTCATAGGACAGCAAACGTTTACTGATTATGTGTCACGCACTTTATGGGGATCTTCTCAGTCTTCCCAATACCAAGCCAAAGAGCCAGGGAAAAGAAATTGTCAAAAAAGACAATTCTCCTCTTCCAAGAGCCCAGCATTCACAGTGAAATTAAAACATGGACAAAGGCAGAGAGGATTGTGAAAATGCAGAAACAGGGATAAACTGAACATCTAAAAAACTTTGAGTGGAATAAACAGTTGTAATTCCCAATCCTTTCTATGAGAATAGTATCAAATCTCTCAAATGCAACACAGTGTTATGGAACTATGCCTTTAAGATTCTGAATGGGAGATTATTTTTGGCACAGAATTTTATAACTCAATCAAATATGAGGGTCAATGAAGGTGGGCAAAAATACAGGTTTTTAGGTTTTCTTTGTCTCTCATGCACCTTTCCCTGGGAAGTTTAGAGAATTATGTTTTAACAAAACAAGGGAGTAAACCAAGAAATGTGAAAGCATATGACTAGAGAAATGGGAACACGCTCTGCTCTAGCTGTGGAACAGCCTTAGGCCGAGACCGTGAGGCCAACAAGCTCCCAGGGAAAGAGCAGCCGCCCCAGAATGCACTGTGACATTTGGAGCTAGGTTTGCTGCGGTGCTTAGAAAAATATATTGATAGATATACAGAGTTTCTGATAGAGAAAAATAGTAGAACATTAGATAAAACAATGTCAAATTGACATTTTGTAGGTAAAAATTTTGTCAAACATTGGCAATTTCATATTGTTCAAGCTAATTTACAGGTGAATAATATGATGAAGAAAATTTGCTTTAAATATTCTAACAATAACGACAAAAAGTTGAAGGAATATGTAAAACCAGAAAGTCAGAAAATGATTTTTATTAAAACTGGGTCAGAGACACATGAGGTCCTCTGGTGTCTGCTTTCTCTATTCGTGTATACATTTGAACTTCCACTGTAAAAAGCTGTAAAAGAGAAAAATCATGACAACACCAAGATAAGTCTGGATCTGTTTCCCAGTCCTCACGGGGGAGGCACAGAACCTGTTCCCCTCCTGTGGGCACAGCCAGGGCCACCCCTCAAGGGAGACTGTCTAGATCTGTCTTCTCTGTCCCAGCAGCCCCGCCCTGATGAGTTTGGTTCTGCAGTGGGACAGCTGGCTGCACCCAACCTAAACCAGTGGTGTTCTCCTCTGCAGGGGAGATAGAGGTAGAGACTCTAGCAGAGACTGACTGGTCTCCGGAGTAGGGGCCGCATTCTCTCCATTGGGTGCCTGACCATGCTGCCTCCAAGTAGGGGACCACTAGCTCTGTCCTCCTGACAGGTCAGGCCACCCTACCAAGTTTGTGCTGTGTGGAAGGGGAAGTGGGGTGCAGCCAGCTTAGGCCCACTCTACAGTCTTTCTTCAAAGGGCTCTGGAGGAAGTCCAGGCAAACCCAGGGGGTGGCAGAGTAGTTAACAGGTGGACACTGACCTCAGAGAGCCTTGGACCTTTTATTGATCTGCCTCCAGCTCAGAGCTGCAGGAAGCTGACTCTTGAATACAGCTTGGCCCCTCTCATACATATCCAGGGCCAGTAGACACAGCCACAATCATGGTAGCTCCAGACAGGTAGATAAGGCCAGTCACACACAGTGTCTGACACCGACCTGTACCAGAACCCTGTCCAAGTGGTCCCAGAAGCAACACAGCCAGTGGTGGGCTTCCAACCTCACCAGAGGTCGACCCAACCAGTCACACAAATGGCACAGCCAAAGAAGAACTCCAGCAGGTACCAGCACCTGCTGGAAACAACTCTGCCTGGGGAGGGGGCAGCCCCCCGAGCAGCAACTCATACTCGGTGAACAAGGTCCATCCTTATAGTCAACCAGCCTAGACCAATGGTGTTCTCTACCCACAAACTCCACCCACGAATGGGACAACAGCGTTTGAGACTCAACTATAAGAGGACAGGGCACATAACCTACATGAAAAACATTTCTGGAGCACTCAGCTCAAGCGATCTAGAAGATTCCACTGCTGAGACCCACAAGGTACCCTCGTCAGAGAGCCCTCATAAACAGCTTGGGAGTCATAGCAGATCTACGTAATATGCAGAGTTAAATATAAAAAGGCAGACAAAATGGGGAGACACAGATAACAGTTTGGTGCTAGCCAGAGGGAAAGGGGATAGTGGGGAGGAGTGAAAGAGGGCAAAGGGGTGACAAATGAAGACAAAAGAGACATTACTGGGGGTGATGGATGCATGATGCAGTATGCAGATGATGTTTTGTTTGAAACCTGTGTGGTTTTGTTAACCAACGTCACCCCAACAAACTATTAATTTCAATTGAACGGGTAAATAGTGATTATTTAATAAATGGTGCTGGCACAACTGGCTATCCATCTGGTAGAATACAGTCTGTCCCCAATCTCATACTAAAAAATAAAAATTCCAGATGGAGTAAATAAGTAATGTAATAAATAAGGCATCCAAAAATTGGTAGGAAAACACTTACAGTCTGTTTATTAACCAGAAAAAAAAGAGAACCATATTTGAGTTTATAAAAATTAAAAATGCAAATTACAGTAAAAAATCATGTATCACTCTACCGCAATCAGATAAAAGGAAAATTAGAGAGCAATAATACCAATGACTGACAGGATAAAGAGAAAAAAATGTAATTTGCTTATAAGTCTTTGGAAAGCAGTCTGACAAATATTTTTAAATAACAGCGCACAGACACTTCAGCCAAGAAAGCACACTCCTGGGACTCTATCCCCTAAAAATAAAATCGCCAACAAAATGTCTATTATGACATTGCTCTTAGTGCAAAAACATCAAAACACCAGGAAACAAAATGAATTCCCAGCAACAAGGTAATGAATAATGGTACATCTGTGCCATGGAACATGAAGCAGCTGTTAAAAAGAACAAATTAGAGCTATGCCAGTAGACTTGGAGAATGTTTATGGATGTATTTTTTACATCCATTTAAATGTATCCATCCATTTTTATATCCATTTATAACAGTGAGGTGCAAAAAAGTACATACACCATAAGCCCATTTTTAAAAAGCAAACATTGATCACTACCCCGAACTATATGTGTCCCAAGTGTGTGTGTGTGCATGAAAGGTGAATATGGAGACAAATACAGAAGGAATGCACCAGGTTCCTAATACAGGTTACTGGTCGTGTGAGGGGGGCAGGGATATGCAGGGGGTGGAAAGAAAAAATGGGCATAATGTATATGACTGCACTGATGTTAATCAAAAACCTGCTACAGTATGGACTTGGATATAACATGATTGGCATGAGTGTCCCTCCCTCCTCCACACAGTCCCCACTCTTAATCTCCCTCCGAGTCATTTGGAATTTCCTTATGCATTGAACTATTAGTTCGGTACAATATTAAGTCTCACTTTTCACAATTTTTTTCTTTTTGCATGTTATAACAATCCTACAAAAATTTTATGTCCCATTAACATTTTATGAAATTGAATTTTTGGACCCACTTTTCAAGTTGGGGTGCAGTTTTACATACAAGCACAAGTAAGTACCTACCCATAAAGAAATTAGACAAAATAAAGAATTAATGGTTACATATTTACTGATTGTTGACCATCCATCAAATTACAAAACTAGTCACAGAAAAATATGCATAAAGTATTCTATTTCAATAAAAACAGGCAAAACCCTAACTATAAATGTATGCTTAAATACGTTTAAATGAAAGAGAAAGCTTCAGAAAGTTGGCACAGGTTACACAAAGGGAGGGAAGTGGAGGGGAAGGGGTATATTCTAGCTTTGCTTTTATATCTCCCTGCATCTTACTACTTCACATATTACAACAGACAAAAAAAAAAGTATTGCTTTTAAAATCTGAAACATTAAGTAATGAAAACAAAGATAAACTGTAAACAATAAAATAAAATGAATTGGGTATTAATTAGTACTAACCTCATAAGATGCTTGTAAAGATTACATGAAATAATCTATATAATGTAAATGTTTAGCATATTGCCTAACATGTTGCTTATGCTCAATAAATGTTAGCTATTCTTTTTTTTTTAAAGACTACAGATAGCAGTGGAATTTACAAACCTAAAAAGATAAGGCCTTTGAAAATGACGGCACTTATTTCTGTATTTCTGAATCTGGTGTCCTTTGGTGTGCAAGGCCTCATACCATGGTAACCATACAGCTCATTAAACATACTTTCACTGACAGTAAAAATAAAATTACAATTAGTTAAAAAAAAGATTTTTTTTATTTTAAAGATTTGGGTTAATTTTTTTTATTTTTAAAGATTTTTTTAAAGGTTTTATTTATTTATTTTTTTAGAGAGGGAAGGGAGGGAGAAACACAGGGACAGAAACATCAATGTGCGGTTGCTGGGGGCCGTGGCCTGCAACCCAGGCATGTGCCCTGACTGGGAATCAAACCTGTGATGCTTTGGTTCTCAGCCTGCGCTCAATCCACTGAGCTACGCCAGCCAGGAAAAAAAAAGATATTTAAACAATAAAAAGGAGATGAAAATCTTTTTGCATTGAAGGCTAAAGGTAGCAAGAACCACCCTAAGGTGTATGTTTCTGTCTCAGCCACTTCAGATGAAAACACGTGGACCCTGGATATTTCCCCCCAGGTTAGAGGGGAACTAAAACAGAATTCATGGAGATTGGAGAGTGATGCCATTTAGCATTTTGAGGGTCTGACCCATGGGAAATCCATTCCTAAATGCAGAAATTCCATCCCCAGTTCTGAGAATTTATTTGCTGGTCTGCCTAAAAACATGTTAATTTAGTTATAATCTACAAACTGAATTTGGTACATCAACACGATTCCTATTACCCAATGAAATATTCAAATAAGTTCATAAATTGCATGAGTGTGTTATTAGTCTTGCTACTTACATGGAATTGACTTTCTCTTCCGGGCCTTGCACTTGGCCTGTCACAGTGCCTTGGCTGGTGTTCTTCACCCAGCCAACCACTCCGATTTTCTTCGCCTCGCCTTCTGTGTACTGGTTTCAGGAGAAAAAAAAAAGGGAAAGAAAGTCCATGTCTGAATCGAAGTCTGAATTTACAATATACTTGATTCTAATATTCAAAAAATGCTAAGCTGATCTTTTCTTTCTCTAAAATATAGTCTATCCCCCAAAAATCATGTAGCTGGTCTACAGTAAGACCTCTATTTACAAGAACCTTCACTTAAGTGGAATGCTTTCTTAAATTCCACTTTCAGTAAAGACAAGCATGTTACAAGAAAATAAAGTGATATTGGGAATTACTTCAAAAAAAAGTTTCCATCATGGGTTTTGGGATCCATAAAATTCAGTCGCATTGCCCTTACTTCAGCTAATACTACATTACATTGTTAATCTAGGTTCCAAATGATGCTAACTCTGAAATTCTCAATCACTGAAAAATATCCAGTTATGATCAACAGAAAGTACTGGATAAAAATAGTTTTCTGTTGGCTCTGGATTTGTCACACAAATGTTATAATTCTCTACAGGTCACTTTATTCCTCCTATTATTCTTAATAGTTTTTTTTTTTAATTTCTTTTCCTGGTCCCAAACTGTTATGCTATTAGCAAGTAAAAACCTAGCAACATTTTGGTTTTGAGTTGTGGTAAATACATCATATTAAAATTCTTGTGGACCCAGTTGACTAGAACTTTTAAAAAACATGCTCTTCTGTTTGGAAGCCAGGGTGACCAAAATCTCTACACTCTGCATTCCACATAACGTGAAGCAACACAAACTGAGACAGTTACACCTAGGATGGTTGCAGCTAGGGCTGAGGTATAAGCCAGTTCTGATAATAACTCAAGCTCTAGGTAATAATGGGAAAGGGACAATCTGTGGAGGATGCAACTATCTCAAAATGTGGGGACTTCATAGGCGGGAACACGGTAGAGAGCCCAGAGGTTAGAAACAGAGACCTAAGCTAGTGACTGACAGCTCAGACGGTAAATGAAAATACAAGCCACACTTAACTCTTAGGAAAGGAGCATGTTAACAAAATCAAAACTTAAAAGGCAACAAGGAGCTTTAACTTCTAAAACCCTGGGAACCACTACCTTATGCAGCATGAGCATTTTTCATGATGCAATTTGAGACATATATGCTCGTGGAGAGGATTTCTTCCATCCACAACAAGATCCCATATTTTGTATTTAACATACCTAATCAAAATGTTCAATTTGATCACCTCAAAAGAGGTATTTTGAAATTCATAGGCAACATTAAAGGATCGGAAGGCTGTAATGTTTTTAATGGACTATTTTGTAAAGGCAGCTCTAATAAAAATCTCAGCCAATAATTTGTATTTGAAGAAGTACAAATATGCTTTTATTTGCTGTCAAGGATGGGAAATAAGCAGTAGACTAGTATAAGTAGAAAAGTGCTCTATCTTTGTAATTAGAAATAACTGTGGGAGAAAATGGCAAAAAATAACATAGATTGTATTGACTTACCATTCTGAAGCACACACCTGTATAAAAGAAAAATTAAAAACAGTCAGCTTGTTACCTCTAAAAAATTTTATATTTCCTAACTTAATTTTCATCGGTTGTACTAAACATTAAGTAAATGAAATGAACAAAAGTTTTACTAACTGAATATATTCAAAAAATGTTTTTTAAAATTGTCTTCCCTTAAAATAAAAAGAGAAAGGGAAAATTACTTTGGAAGAAAATTAGTAATCTGAATATTTCATTTTATTTGAATATTTTATTCAAAGTATAATAAAATGTCAAACTTTATATTTATTCTATTGCAGTGATTTTCACCTGGTGTGCTGCAAGAATTTTTAAAGCATGCAATATGTGACTGTTAAGTCAGGGGTACTGAGTTCTTTTCCCTTAGACTGCAAAAGGAAATACACCAGAAAGCCGCTTTAATTAAGTCGGTGAGGAGTGTTACCGTATTTTGCCATGTATAATGAGCTTCCATGTGTAATGCACACCCAAAGTTCTGGTCCAAACTTTCAGGAAAAAAGCTCTTTCTTTTTAATCTTTTAATTCAATTACTTATTTATTTATATTTAGAAACAAAACCAATTATCATATTCCAGGGTATTATTTTACATATGGATATTGTTATTGCTTTCTAGAGATATTTAATGCATAAACATAAGTAAAAAAAATAAAAACATTTATAAAGATACGGAATTAGTACTACCCATGTATAATGCACATCCTTATTTTCTCTCAAAAATGTGGGCAAAAGAGTGCACATTATACACAGCAAAATAAGGTAGTCTAGGAATATTTAGTAAGTAAATCAATCAGAACAGAGAATCCAGAAATAAAATCCAGTTGATATGAGATTTTAATATATAATAAAAATATATTTCAATTCAATGAGGAAATAGTGATTACTTAATAAACAGTGCTGGCACAACTGGCTATCCATCTGATAGAATATAGTCAGTCCCCAATCTGATATTATAAAATAAAAAACAAATTCTAGATGGAGTAAATAAGTAATGTAATAAATAAAGCATCAAAAAGTTAGAAGATTCACTAAAACTACAACTAAAATATAGAACAAGCATCATTCAGAACAATCAGAAATCGAGTTGAATGGAAGTCTGACAACTACAGAGCTAAAGAAACCACATCCATACAGACTGGTAGAAAGGGCAGAGATGCAGAATGGGCAGGTCCCACATCCACCTGTGGTGGATAAAAATTCAAGAGGGATGTCTCAGGAGTGACAAGTCCCAGCCCCACACAGGTCCCCCGACCCAGGGTACCAGTTCCAGGAAGGTAAGTCACCATAACTTCTGGCTGCATAAACCAACAGGGAATGAGTTGGTGTAAGAAACTCCTGGAGTCCCAAGCAGTTCCCCTTAAAGAACCCACACACAGACTTATGCAGACTGACTCCTCTGAGCTCCAGTACCAGCATAGCAGCTTGAAATGCACCAGTGGCATACAAGAAGGAACTGAAGTGTCTGGCATCAAGGTGGGAACTGGGGGACAGCTTTCTCCCACACTAAAGGCAGACAGAGGCCATTGTTCCTTTTCTGAGCCCTTCCCCCATAGAGTCACAGAGCCAGCAAGCAGGTGCCATATCTGAGACTCCATCAACCTGGCTAACATTGTTTGCCCTGCCCTGGAGGTCCCCTGAGACTCCATCCCACCCAACTTACAGGCCCATCCAAGCTGTAAACATACACTTTTCCATATGAATGGCTAGTCTTGGCTCACGCTTCACAACTTCCAAACTCCTATCAAACAAGTAACAGCTGGCCTCATTAAACCTCCAGCCACTATACCTCCTGCTAAGTGGCCCCAGGCCTGGCACTAACAGCAGCCAGCCTAGATTCACAGCTTGGCTTTCCCTGTGTACCTCCAAGCCCAACACAAGTAGCAGCCATCTCAGACAGTGTTATAGCTCATACAGGGTGGTCCTGGGCAGAACACAGGTAAAGGCTGACCTTGGCCTGCACCAAGGAAACCCCAGGAAACCAGGAAACCCCAGAGCCTGCACACCCAGTGGATAGCTACAGACTATGTCTGAGCACCACCCTGCCCTGCACAGCTGATCCTCCACAAAGGGCAGAGGTTAGTGGTCAGTGGTCACAGCCAGTCCTTGCAGCTGACTAGCCTGAGTAAATCCCTCCCATTAATCTGCCAACAGCAACCAAAGCTCAACTGCAAGAGTGTGTACTCAGTCCACATAAAGGTCACACCTGAAGTACCCAGCTTGGGTGATAGGTCAGGCTGTGCCACAGGACCCTACAGGACACCAACTATATTAGACCATGCTACCAAGACATGGAGTCAAAGCATCTCTACCTAATACATAGAAACAAACACAGGGAGGCTGCCAAAGTGAAGAGACAAAGAAACATGGCACAAATTAAAGAACAGATCAAAACTCCAGAAAAAGAGCTAAACAAAATGGAGATAAGCAATCTGTCCAATGCAGAGTTTAAAATACTGGCTATTAGAATGCTCAAAGACCTTAGTGAGGACCTCAACAGCATAAAAAAGATCCAGCCAGAAACGAAGGATACACTAATTAAAATAAAGAACAATTTACAGGGATACAATAGTAGAGTGGATAAAGACAAAAATCTAACCAATGACTTGGAACCAATGACTCAGAACCAAGAAGAAAAAAGAATCCCCAAATACAAGGTTAATGTAAGCAGCCTCTGGGACAATTTCAAGCATTCCACACATTCATATCATAGGGATACCAGAAGGAGAAGAGAAAGAGCAAGGGATTAGAAATCTATTTGAAAAAATAATGAAAGAAAAATTCCCTAATTTGGTGAAGGAAATAGACATACAAGTCCAAGAAGCACAGAGAATCCCAAACAAGATGGATGCAGAGGTCCACTCCGACATATCATAATTAAAATGCCAAAGGTTAAAGATAAAGAGAAAATCTTAAAAGCATCGAGAGAAAAGCAGTTAGTTACCTACTGGGGAGTTCCCATAAAACTGTCAGCTGATTTCTCAAAATAAACTTTGCAGGCTAGAAGGAATTGGCAAGAAGTGTTCAAAGTTATGAAAACCTGAGACCTACAGCCAAGATTGCTCTACCCAGCAAAAATATCATTTAGAATCAAAGGGCAAATAAAGAGCTTCCCAGACAAAAAAAAAACTAAAGGAGTTCATCATCACCAAACCATTGTTATATGAAATGTTAAAGGGAATTTTATTTAAGAAAAAAGAAGATTAAAGCTATGAACAATAAAATAACAGTAAACTCACAACTATCAACAACTGAATCTAAAAAACAAACTAAGCAAACAAGAAGAGCAGAGACAGAATCATGGATACAGAGAGTGTTTTGATGGATGCCAGATAGAAGAGGAATGTGGGAGAATGGGTGAGGAGGTGAGGGGATTAAGAAGTACAAATAGATAATTACAGAATAGCCATGGGGATATCAAGTACAGTATAAGAAATGGAGTAGCCAAAGAACTTATACACAAGACCCATGGACATGAACAATGGTATGGGATTGCCTCAGCCGGTGGGGGTGGTGCTGGTGGGTGGGGGGTGGGAAATATTGGGGCAATTGTAATGGCATGACCAATAAAATATTTTTTAAAGTTAGTAGAAAACAATACATACAGTCTGTTTAGCAATCAAAATTATAACTATTTTTTGTCATACTGGCAAAAAAATATTTTTTGGCATGCCTCAGAATTTAGTAATTAGTTTATGTATACCATGAGATGATGAAGCTTGAAGATCGCTGTTCTGTTTTAAAATGATAAATAAAATAAAATGCTTATTACAAGGAAGTTGAGTATACTTGACATAAAAAATTACCTAACCACAGCTTTTAGAATCTCTTCTTTAAATACAAGAACTAAATCCAACTTTAAATGTAATAAAACACTTGTTTTAATTTTAATTCCACATTCCAGAAAAGGCAAAACTACAGGCACAAGAAACTAATCAGCGGTGCCAAGGCCTGGGAGGAGAGAGGGGAGTGCTGCCTCGGGCACTGGGCACCAGGGCATCTGGGGGATGACGACGCTGTTTTGCATTTCAGCTGTGGTGGTGATCACATGACTCTGCGGTTTTCAAAACTCCTTGAACAGCACACTAAAAAGGGTGAATGTTACTGAGTTTAAATTATACTTCATTTGAAAAATAAATTAGAAGAAAAAACTCAGGACCTTACAGGGGATAAATCAGCCAAAAGATACTGCTTACAGCAATTGCACCTGGTGAAGAAAACAGAGAAGAAGGAATCAGAGGGCTGGGTAATCTTACATATTTCTGTAGGTGGATCTATAGTAATAAGAGGTTTCCTGATAATAGTGTATTGTGGTACCAAATGAAGAAACACAGTAAAGCTATAAAGGCAGGATAATATCACAAGTGGAATTCTTGCAGCACTATAAAAATACTGTCAATGCTACATACACAAGCTGGAGGAATGATGAGTGGAAGTGTGGATCTGAAAGGGAATCAGAAAGGCAATCTGTTGTATAGATACAGGGAAAGGCATTAGCTTGCAGACACTGAAAAAAAAAAAGTGGCATCAAACTCAGGAAAAATGTGTGAAACCAGACCACGCAGAAAAGAGAAACCTGGAACAGACGCCAGCCCTTGTGGTAATGAACGACTCGAGCACGGCGTGCTGCTCAGCTGCTCAGCCCGGCTCAGCCAGCTGCAAGCGGACCTCACTCTGCGGAAAGATGTGTCAGCGAGAAACTCTGAGGTGAGTATTTGCAAAGGCAACCACACTTTAAATCTACAAAGGAATATTGGTATTCAACAAAATCACATCATGAATTTTAAACATCAGCCTCCTGTCATGTAAAATCAGATTTCTCTGTTGTAACACACGCCTGTACCCTGGGACCTGGATGCACACGTCAGCTTTGAAAGCAGAAAGCCATCCAGTCCCCAGCGGACAAAGCAGCCCTTGATGATGCTAAACATCTTTAGTGGTTAGGAAGGATTTACTTACATGGAATGAAATTCTGCCTTGCTTTAGCATTTGTCCATC